AATTTTAGATTTTATAGAGTCTATTTTTTATTCTTCTTCCCTAAAAGTATCGAAATTCCAAATCGACTTAAAATTGTGTATAGGCCTGCATTTTTCGTACTTTTCTTTTACTTCATTATTTGCATTTTCGAAATCTTTTTTCACCTTGCAATTTAATTCTTCTTTCACACACTTATAATCCACAGATTCAAAAATAATAGTCTATACATCAAAAACATTATCCACATTTAAATTCTTTACAAAATTTTCAAAATGACCTAATAATCTTAATGAACTATTATTCATAGTACTCACCATATCTTCCAATAGATTAATTAAGCAATCTGCAATATCCTTCTCATCAGGACTAAAATTCATCCTATTTTCATCAAACATAACAGAAGTATTAAAAAGAGCTAATTTTCTATCTCTTTTAATTTCTTCTAATAAATTCTACATAGACTAAGCATTTGTCTAAACTAGAGTTTCAACACTCAAATAATCACATAATCTTATAAAATTTCTTAATTTTTCCCTATCCTTAATCGCCCTTTCTAATAAATAAGCCCTTTCTTTAGCTTCCAAAGCAATTTCATACCTCGGTTTAGATTTCACCTATTAACCAAATCTAGCTTCCTCCATCTCAGACTAATCTTTAATTTTGGTTCTTTAATCTACTTCTTTACATACAGCTTCAACTAAGTGAATAATATTTTCAATTACTTATTCATATATTCTACTAGCCTCTTGTCTAGCTTTTTTCTAGTCAGCCTTAAATTCCTCCTGTTCCCAAGTTCTATTTTAAGAAATACTATTAGAAATAGTCTTAGTGTTCTAAACTTCATGCATATGTTAATTAATGGACATTAAATGTTATGCAAAAGCTGGTTTTGCAATAAAAGAATCATGGATTAATTTTTTTCTGGTTTTACAAAAAATTCTATATTAAACATTAGCTTTCCAAATATTAAATATTTTCGTTATGGCATAATTCTTAAAAAATTAAATATTTGTAATAATATTAAACATAGTGGATTCATGCATCCAATCACTTAAAGAAATTACTTCAGTAGGAGCCTCTTTATTATTTCCTTTTTTTGTAAATACATGTACTATTCCGTTTGCGGATATAGTATAATATTCATCTAATGTTAATTCTTTCTAATTCTCACTTGTATGGTCTACTTTTAAATCATATGGTCTAAAATGCTCTTAATAAGTATCCCTTACACAGTTTATGAATTTTATAGGAGTCGTATTACCGTATTTTGCGAAAAAAGATATGGCTTGTTCACCTGTTATTATTTTTGCTTGTTCTTTTGCTACATCGGCATTTATAAATAATGCGTTTTGGATTTTATTTACTGGCTTTTTGTTTATGTCCGTAAATAATTCTTTTACTATTTCAGTATATGTATGCTCTTTCTTATCTTTTTAACCTTTTTCATCTGTTTCTTCTACTTCTTCTTCATCATAATCTTCTTCTTCTACACCTTCAGGTTGGAGGAAATTAGGTTCTTCCATTTCATATACTTCTTTAGGTTATTATGCTATTTTATATTTTTATTTAAGTTTTTATATTTTTAGTAAATACAGGAAATATTACTTTTATTCAAACCGTGTTCGCTATAATTTATTTTATTAGGAGATTATTTTTAATATTTTGTTTGAATTTTTTATTCTTTATCACCTGTTTTAAATTCATTTAATATTTCCTTATTTTATTTTAAAGTTTTTAATTTAATTTTTTTAAAAAAAAAAATTTAATATAAAAAATTTATAAATATTTTTTTTTTTTAAAAAATACATTAGGATTAAATTTATATAATTTCGAATAAGTTTCTTAATCAGTTTCTGAAACAGCTTTAATATATAAATTAAATAATTATTTTTATTATCTTAGAAATATTATATATATAAAATATATAGCTCTTACATAAAATAAAAGGATTTTTTTGAACAGCAAGCTTTTATCTTTTTTCTTCTCTTCGTTTTAAAAGCTCTTTATACTAATATTTTTATTTTAATTTATTAAATTAAATAATATTTATTATTTTATTTTTACATCTATATTTTCTGATCGAAAATTTAATCTTTTCGACATTTTTTTTTCTTATTTTTATTTTTTTTTATAAAAAAAATTATTGTTATATAAAATATTTTCTTTCCTTTTGTTTTTAATATAAATATATTTTTTATAACTTATTTATAAAAAAAAATATTAATGTTATTTTTATATTTAAAATATTTTTTTTAATTAAAAAATATGTATTGAATACTCAATAGAAATTCCTTAAAGTAAAAAAATATTATATATCTTTTATTATACAATTATAAATAATATTAATCGAATCAATTAAAATAAAATATTTTGCTTTAATCAATAAATTATAGGATGCTAATATTAATCTATACAAAAATATAAAAAAATTATAATATTTTTTAAATTGTTTAAATAAAAATTAATAAAAATTCATTAATTCATTAAATAAATAAATAAAAACATATAAAAAAACTGTTTTGTTAATATCAAAATAATTATAAATTGATATTTTTTCATATAAAAATCTATAATTTTTTTTTTTCAAATTTAAGGACCTGCATCAATAACTTCCCTAGAAGCTTTATCTTAATATTTTTTAAAGTTCTTCTAGAACATATTACCAAGTTTTTTAAGTTCAGAGTCATAAGCAGATTTATTAGACCATGTATTTTTTGGAGTTAAAATACTAGAGTCTACTCCAGGGCATTAAGTAGGAACTTACAAGTTAAAAATAGGTAAATTAGTATATTATACTTTATCTAATTCTCCACTATGGATTGCATCAATAATTTTTCTTGTTACTTTCAAGCTCATTCTTTTTCCTTCTCCATATTTACCACCACTCCAACTATATAAATTTTTAAAATTTAATATTTTTATAAATAAGTTATATATTTAATTACCCAGTGTTAACAAGCCAGCAGTTAGATCCGTGTTATTTCATTTTTTATGCAAGCATATCAGCATAAAGTGTAGGATGTAAAGGTAAGAAAGCTTCACCGAAGCATGAAGAAAAGGTTGCTTAAGGTTCAACGACTCCTACTTCAGTTCCTGCAACTTTAGCAGTGTAACCAGAAATGAAATGATACATAGCCTAGCTAGAATTTAATTTAGAAACTGGGGGTAATACGCCATAAGCATCACAAGTTAAAAAAATAATATTTTTTGGGTGACCTCCTACTGAAGGGAATTTAGCATTAGGAATATGTTCTAAAGGATAACAAGCTCTTGTATTTTCAGTAATATCAACATTATCGTAGTCAACGATTCTATTTTTAGAATCTTTAAAATTGATATTTTCTAAAACAGCACCAAATCTTATATTATAATATAAAAATATATAAATATATAAATATATAAAATATAATATTAAATAATATATATATATATTCATATTTATTTAAAATAATTTTACTTAATAGCATCATAAATTTCAGGTTCTTTTTCTCTTGTTAATCCAATACATTTGGCATAACAACCGCCTTCAATATTGAAGACTCCATTATCACTCCAGCAATGTTCATCATCACCAAGAAGTTATCTTTAAGGATCAGCCGAAAGTGTAGTTTTTCCAGTTCCAGAAAGACCAAAGAATAAAGTAATATCTCCATTTTTACCTTCAGTAGCAGAAGAATGTAAAGACAAAACTCCTTTTTAAGGCATTTTGTAATGCATAACTCCGAAGATACCTTTTTTCATTTCTCCAGCATATTAAGTACCTAAAATAATCATTTAGTTTTCCTTAAAGTTAACTTAAACAGTTGTTTCAGAAGTAACATCTTTAATAGGGAGAGGAGATTTGAATTCACCAGCATTGAAAACATGGAAATCAATATTTTTATCGTCTTTAAAGTCTCTCATTAACTCTTCATTAGTTGGTCTAATTAACATATTTTTCATAAATAAAGCATGATAAGATCTACTGCATACAATTCTTACTTTAAGTCTGTATTTTGGGTCCCATCCAGCATAGCCATCAACTATATATAACTTTTTTTATTTATAATTTATATATATATATATATATATATATATATATATATATATATATATATATATATATATATATTCTATATTATCTATTTACTCTTTATCTTGTGTTAAGATATTTAATAGCCATATCTTTACAGAAAGCATGACTTTCGGGATTAATGGGAATATTTACTGGACCCCACCATATAGTGTCTTTCGTTGTTTCATCCAAAACGATTCTCTTTTCTTGAGGAGTACGCCTATTTATTTTATATTTATTTAATATTTATATTTTATAATTATTTACCCTGTTCTTTATCCAGAATAAGCACACAATGCACCAGTTGAACCTATTGAATATTTAGTAAATTAATATAAAAAATTATAATAATTTTTTATCTCTTACTTATAGAATTGTTAGCAGTCCAAGGATCACATGGTGGAATTTTCTTAGTTCCAATTTCGTATAATTCACCAACACTATTTAAAAAAGGAAATATTATAAAAAAATTATTATTATAAAAAAATTAATTTTAATATTCTATATATATTTACATATTTTTTTGTATAATAATCAAAAAATACTATATATTTTTATATAATTTGTTAATTACCTTAAGTTATAAAGGATATTCTTGTGTGTAATACCATATTTTTCTAATCCATAGTAGTTGTGGTCGCCTTACAACTAAGCTCCACCTCTTCTGATTATTTTACTTAACATTTTTTATTTTTTTTTAGATTTTTTTTTATTTTTTATTATATATATTATTTTTATTTAAAAATAGATTGCAATTATTTATATAGGTATTCGAAATAAAATTTATTTTTTATTTATTTTTGATATAGAATAAAAATTAATTATTTTTTATAATTTTAAACAAAAATCTATATAAAAATTAATAATATAAATAATATAAATATTAGAAATTTTTATTTTTAATATTTTTTATAAAAAATAAATAATTTTATTTACAAATTTAAAATATAATTTAATTATTTTAATTGCAATATTTTTTTTTAGATAACAAATCTAAATAATATAATTTTTATTTCATATTTCGTCATAAAAAAAATATTGGAAAAGTTTAGTGTATTAATTTTAAATTTATCTTTGAGCATTTTATATTTATAGACTAGTTTATAATTGACAAAGCTTTAATTTTTTTTATATATTTCTACTAAAAATTAATTATAAAATAATTATTTCATACAAATAAGATTTAAAGTAAA